TTGCATTCCATCTTAGTCTGTCTCAAGGATACCGTTGAGCTGTGTTTTTGACTAAATCTTAGTTTGAATCACATACACATATGGGGTAGTCTTGCACATGTGCGCTTGATATGGACAAGTAAGTTGAAAACAGATCATACGCATGATAGATTTGATAGCTACTCTAAAAGTCACTAGGACGAATTATTTTATGATCTCAATAATAAAAGTTGATTGTTTACACTCACTGTTTATCTATAGAAGAATCATATTATGAATCACATACCTAGTAGCATAATGTTAGAGAATATGGTATGAGTACCAGATGTACCATATGTGAACACACTTATTATAGAAATTGAGAATAATATATGAATTCCCTATTGATGCGTCAGCATCATCTAGTACACAGATTCCTGCATCGGTACATTGATGTAGTGGGAGGATTATCATCCAATCCGACAGAATCATGTTTTTAGGTGAGACCATTATGGACATCCCTGTTAAACATGAGTTGGACCCAGTAAGCTACACGGAAGCGTGAACCAATATGGATACAGATCGTTTTGGCGAGTTACTATGAAATCAGAGTTGGAATCTATGTATTCTAATAAATTCTGAGATCTTGTAGAACTTTCTAGTAGGGTGATACCTATGGAAGGCAAGTTAATCTACAAAAAGATACCAGAAGATTTCTTAGTGAATAAATCATGAGTGTACAAGGGAATGTCATTATTTTTCTGATTCTATATATATTGATGACATCCTACTCATTTAGAATGATGTGGAAGTTTTGTCATCAATAAAGAGGTAATTGTTCAATTACTTTTAAATGAAGGATTTTCAAGATGTAAGCTATATTCCTAGGATCAAGCTTTGCAAGATCAGGTTAAAAGGAAAATAGGCTTATCTTAATAATCCTACATTGATAAAGTTTTGACCAGGTTTGGTATGCATAACTCAAAGAATGAGTTCTTGCTTTATTGATATGGATTGCTCTCTCTAGTAAGTAGTTTTCCAAGACTAGCAGAGTAGATTGAGCGAATGAGACTGGAACTATATGCTTTGGCATATGGGAGTCTCATATATGCCATGGTCTATACCAAACAGGACATCCGCTACACTGTAGGGATGGTCAGTAGATATCAGTCCAATCCTGGACTAGATAACTGGTCTGTTGTGAAAAATATCATTAAGTACCTTAGGAGAACCAATGATCTCATACTCATTTACGGATGTGATGATATGGTACTAGTCAGGTATGCTAGTTCTGATTTTCAATCAGAAGTAGATACTATGAGGTTCATGACTTAGTGTTTGTTCACTTAATGAAAGGGAAATCAGTTGGTAGATTGTTAAGCAGATTTCAACTGCTGACTCAAACCTGCAGGTGGAATACATTGCAGCCTTAAAGGCGGCAAAGGAAGCCTATTGGTTTGATCTCGCTGATTTAAAGGTTGTGGAGTTTACTAGCCTGCCTATTGAGCTATATTGTGACAATAGTGCAGAAGTAATCTAAACCAATGACCCAAGGTTCTATAGAGGAACAAGATACACTGAGAGGAAATATCATGTTCTACATGATATTGTCCGGCAAGAAAATATACTTGTAGCTAGAACATTACATTGGAACACAACTTTGTTGATCCATTATCAAATGTGTCATTGATCAATAATTTTGATCATCATCTGGATAATATTGGAGTTAGGTGCAATTTGAATTGGCTATGAGGGCAAGTGGGAGCTGTTGGAATTTATATGCCCTGGCATAGCAAATTCCTATTTGGATTAAAGTGACATATGTTCCTGACGTTTCTGAAATATTTATGTTTTATACAATTGGTGAATTCAATGTATTATGTTACGATTCATTATAGAATTGATAGTGTCCTCTTGATTACAAGAGATATTTATATATGTATGTGATGGCAATCAATACATGAATATAAATAGTAATCATAAATAGTTCATAGTCGGTAATTATGGATAGAATCATAATTAATTAAGACTTAAACTGGATCCGCGTTAGGTTGAGATATATTGCGAGAGCCGTCGTATGCAATTGCTCCCTATCACCGTCATGGCATTTGACTCTTAAGCATGATAAAAGTATAGACTCTTTTATTAATTAATAATTACTTTGATTTGTTCGGCAGATTCTTCGGGATCCTTAGATCGACACTTTGGGTAGTTATGTAATTAATAGTTAGAGGGTTATATTTTCAGTATTTGCATCATTGCTACTTGTATTTATTTTGTATTGATTATGGTTGATCACAAAGTAAATTCGAAGGCCTTCGTGTGTTTTTAGACAAAATGATTTATTATATATTTATTTATTTAAATTATTATTTTTGTCAAACAAATGTTTTATTGTAATCGAGCCAGAAATAATCAAAGGGACCAAAATAAATATATTAATTAAGTAGTCGGATTGATGGCTTTATTTGTCCGATAACTAATTATGCATAGAGGGGTCAAAGTGCAATATTGACTTAGTGGTTATTTATTATTTAATTGGAGTTCAATTAATTTCTTTTAGTGGAGTAGAAATTAGTTTATGAATTAATTGAATTAGGTCCATGGACCGGGCCAATTATTAATTCATTGTAGCCAATAAAATAATAGGCCCAATGGTTCTCACTCATAGCCTAACTTGATATTGGAATCATATTAGATTTGAGACATGTGAATTAGAGATTGAGAAGGATTTATTTTTTCCTTTTCCTCATCTTTATGTTGCCTATATATATACATGGTCTATGTATATTTTAGAGGTGATTTTTATGAGAAGGAAGTTGGAATATATTTTTTCTCTCTAGAAAATTAGGGTTAGTGTTCTCATCTAATGGAGGCTCCCACAAGCCTAGTATTCCAAGGTCATTCATGGAGGCTTATGAGTGATTCCTAAAGGCAAGACTATTACCAAGAAGATGGAGATCCATAGAAAAGGTGTCTAACAAAAGAGATCTACAATAAGTGAGAATATTCACTTTAGAGGAGAGATCTAAGGTTTACTCAAACCTTGATGTAAGTATTCAATCTTTTAATTGAATGATACATCATGTTTTTATTTTTTCATAAAACTTGTCTCTATGTGATGAATCAAGATCTATGAATCAAAATCCCTCAAAAAGTTTTTAAAAGTAGCACGTTTCCTAACACGTTGTGGATGACACACTCATTGTGGATCCACCAGAAAATGTCAAAGACATAAGAGTACTTTTTGGAAAAGATGTCTTATGGGAAATTTTACAAGGAGAATGCCATTCAAAGATGTTTCCACTTCAGCTTACAAACTTTGGGAGGATAAAGACCTTCAGAATGAAATTATGAACTCAGATAGATGGTTTTACTGCAGGTTTGATTGTGAGGATAGCTGCAAAAGGGTGTTGGCAGGAGGTTAATGGTTTTTGGCAGGTAAGCCTATATCTCTCTCCCCTTGGCAGTTGGATACTTCACCTATACCTAAAGCATCCTCCACACTTTCCCTTTGGGTTAAATTATACAATGTACCTCTGTCCTTGTGGTCTCTAAAAGGACTTGGTTATGTGGCAAGTGCAATTGGTAAGCCCAAATTTGCAGATGCCAGAACTCAAGATAGGAGTAGAATTGACTTTGCAAAAGTCTGTGTTGAGGTTAACCTCAATTCAACTTTACCAAATTCCTTTCTTGTGCGAACCAAAGGTAACAAGTTGGTTAAAATCACAATGCACTATCCATGGAAGCCTCAGAGATGCACAGTATGCTCTATATTTGGTCACGTACTCCACTTCTAATTGTACCCATGCCACTAAGAATCATAGTAATCAGGCTTTTCATCATGATTCTCATAATTGACAATTGGTTACTAAGAAGAACAAAAGCTCTGTATACCATGCCATTCCTAATCCTTTCACTTCAACACCATCCCACCTTAACTCAAAGGATGCTTCAACCTCTAGAGGTCTGCAGAGGAATTCTACTGCTATATCACCAAGTGGTGAGGCTGCATTTGGTTCTCAAGTCGAGTGTGATAATAGGGAGGATATTATTGGAGAAACACTTCCCACATCCACCACTCCGAGCTTAACCCCAGTGCAAAAGGAGAATATTAAAGCTATCAATTTCATTATTGATCTATCCCCCCATATAAGAGCATTTGGGGCGGAAGACATATTTGTGAAAAGTAGAGAGAGAGAAGGGCGGTGTGCAGGTCAAAGCAACTACTTTATTTGTGGGCCCCACAACAAATACTCTATCACCTTCTCTGCATACAGAGAGCTGTTTGGAGCACCGCCACTTATTATTTGGCTTTGTTTATTCACTTTTTTTGCTTGTTGAATTGTACAAAAGGGCCAATCTTAAAACAGGTTTTTTTTTTTTTTTTTTTTTTTTTTTTTTTTTTTTTTTTGAAATGGGAATAAAACGGCTAGTCACAGTAATAAAATGGCTATATATTATTTAGCCTATAAATACTAACTTTCATCTTCAATAATTTTCATCTTTAATAATTCTCTCTCTCAATATTTTTTTTTAACATTCATCTCTATGGATCCTCAACCTCCATTTTATCGCCCACATCTCAACCAATCTCATAACTCCGAATTACCATTGCAATCCAATTATAATTTGGATTCTTCAATTTTTTTTTTCAATCCGAAAATCCATCTCAACCCCAATACTCTTATTTTTCATTCCAACCTACTCAATACCAACCCGTACCACATCTTCAATTCCAACCTCATTACCAATTACAACCTTGTCAATACCAACCATCTCAATCCCAATTATCTCAGTTCCAACCACCTCAATCCCAACCTTCTCAATCCCAACCTTCTCAATCCTAACCATCTGAGATCCAATGTAATTCTAGGCGTTTGAAAATAAATTGGTCAATTGAAGAAGATGAAGCATTATGCAAAGCATGAGTTGACATTGGGGAAGATCATACTCTTGAATACTGGGGAATGATCAAGAACATTCAAGTCATTGTGTGAACCAACCATACCAAAGAAAGCATGCCAGATCCATATATTTTTCTATGTAACGGCCTCCAATATGAGGGTAGGTTTATGGCTTCTTCCCGTGTGCATGCGATGCCATGCTATGGGGCAGTTCTTCCATTCCCAATGCATATAATCTATAGAGCCAGGCATACCTGGAAAACCTCTCTCTTCCCCTTCTCGAAGTAGACGTGCAATGTCATCTGTACTTGGTGAGCGTAGGTACTGCTCCGCACACACAACAATTATAGCATCACAAAGCCTCTTTAAACTTTCGATCGCAATGCGCTCAGAAATCTTTATATACTCGTCACAAAGATCAGCTAAAATTCCATATGCGAGTATACGGATTGCAGCAATCATCTTCTGTATAGGAGTGAACCCCATACAACCGAGGGCATCGGGTTTCTGGATGAACCATTCATCATATGTTGTAACACCGTTCAAAATGCGAAGAAACAACTCTCGTCGCATCCGAAACCTTCTACGAAATATGTTTGGTGGATAAATCAGATTTTCAGCAAAGTAATCTCAGAATAGCCATGGTGCTGCCTCCTCTCGATCACGTTGATATACTTTCTCTTACGAGGTTGAAAGAATGCCCGCACCCTATCAGGCGATAATAATCTGCTCACATTGTTCATCCTTTTTTGATGGAATTCAAAAATATCTTCCCCATCTGAATCTGAAGAATTCAATGGAGAAATAGACTCAGAGACGGGTATATCTCATGACGATGAAACCATTGTTTTTTTGTATAAGAAATATGAAGACTCAAAGAATAGAGACTGGGCTTGTGAATGCAAAGAAGTGGACTTGATAATTGAAAGAAGATAGAATTGAAAAAAGATAAAATGAGTGATTTATATAGAAATTGAAATAACAAATAATGGACTTGAGAATGCAAAGAAGTGGATTTCGTAATTGAAAGAAGATAGAATGAGTGGTTTATATAGAAATTGAAATATAGCCGTTGGGAATATAGCCGTTGAGAAAAAGACAAAAAATTATTAAATTCAAATTCAAATTTTTATTTTTTTTTAAAATTAGATTAATAAAATAATAAATAGAGAATGAGATAATTGGGTTCCGCACCATGGAACATTTGGATAAAAAAAAATAAAGTATCACATCATCACTTTTTAACTACGTGGCACTCTACTTTTTAAAAAGTAGATAGAGAGCTTGTGTGCCTACACCACTTGCACTAAGGTCTCAGCCAAGCCTCCTCCCAGCTCCAGCCCCAACCTTGGTATCCAATAGGTTTGATAGCCTTCCCATTTAAAAAAACAATAAAAACAATGAATACTCAATTGAATTGGCATTAAGTTCTGAAAATGAAAGCCTTTCCTCCTATAATGATCCATATTAGACTCCTTTCATGGATAAGATTCAAGACATGAAGCTAAGGAAGTTAGTGCACTCTAAGCACTCAAAGAAAAACTTGAGATTAAGGAAGAAGAATCAAGTCTCAACTCTTTCTGTAGTTTAACCAACTTATCTTCTCAATGATTTGGGTAGCTTGGAATATAAGAGGGTTGAACTCTCCCTCAAACACGTAGAGGTAAGAAATTTGATTAGATATTCTGGTATTTGCTTAATTGTTATCCTTGAAACAAAGGTTTGTAGCTCAAATATGGACTTAATTCATAAGACAATTGTTTTTACCTGGCACATAAGGTGCAACTATCAGACTTCTGTTTTGGGTAGGGTTTGGCTCATGTGGAACCCTGTCTTAGTTTCAATGCTTTCTATCTCAGAATATGGTCAAGCTCTCAATTGCTCTGTGCTCCTAATTAACTCAAGGGTTAGATGTTTGGCTTCTTTTGTCTATGTTGCCAACACTACAGTGGAAATGAGAGTGTTATGGAGGTGTTTGAGTCAATATTGCATCTCTAATGAGCCTTGGATATTGATGGGAGATTTTAATGTGCTTTTGCATATCAATGAGTCATTTGAGGGTGCTCTCAGATAGACAAATCGCATGAGGGAATTCAAAGATTTCTTGTCACAAAATGTGCTTGAAGATATGAGATTCTCTGGCATCTTTCAAACTTGGTCTAACCAAAGTTTGGGTTGTGCTAACATCTCAAGAATTTGGACAAGGTCCTTGTTAACCACACATGGATGCCAACCTTTACCCAATCATTATAATCTTTTTTACCCCAAGGTATCTCTGATCACTCACCAATGATGGTTACACTTGCTCATTTGCTCCCAAAAGGAACATACCATTCAGGTTTTTTTAACTTTTGGGCACTCAGTTTTGATTTCTTACCACTGGTTGCACACACTTAGGAGATGAAAGTCCATGGTTCTAGAATGTCTACACTGGCACCGTGCAGAAGCTTAGGCATCGTTTGGATACATAAAAGAGAAAAGAAAGGAAAGGATTATGAGAGAAAAGAAATGAAATGAAAGGATAGCTATAATTTATATTCATGTTTAGATAGATAAGAGAGAAAAGAAAGGAATTGGTAATATTGTTATTTGGATAACACAAAGGAGAGAAAATAAAATAATGGACAATACTGAAATTACCATCTTACCCTTTTTGGTAGGGTTAGAGGGCAAAATCATTTCAGCCTCCTCTATCTCTCTATTCTCCTTCTCATAGATCCCCCCCTCTCTCTCCCCAAATACAAACTACAAAATCTACAAAAATTAGAAGGTCAAAACCCATATCGGCTCTCTCTCTTTCTCTCTCCAACTACCAACTACAAAATCTACCAAAATTAGAAGATCAAACCCATATCGGCTCTCTCTCTCTCTCTTTCTAACTGTAAACTACAAAAGCTACCAAAATCAGAAGATCAAAACCCATATCAGCTTTCTCTCTCTCCAACTGCCAATTACAAAATCTACCAAATTAGAAGATTAAAACCCATATCGGTTCTCTCTTTCTCTCTCCAACTGTAAACTACAAAATCTACCAAAATCAGAAGATCAAAACCCATATCGGCTCTCTCTCTCTCTCTCCAACTGCAAACTACAAAATCTACAAAAATCAGAAGATCAAAACCCGATTAGGCATATCATTTTAGATTGTTCCAAAAATCAAAACCCATATCTTTCAAGCTTGCCCCCCTCTCTCTCTGCAACTGCTAACTTGTATGTATGGGTTTTGTTTTAAATTTTTTTCTAAAATCAACTAATCAAGGTCTGTAATTCTTATTTTGCAACTCTCTCTGTCTCTGCAACTGCAACTACATATATATATTTCAGCCTCCTCAATAGCCTCCATCTCGTTCTTAGCCTTCCACTCTCTCTCGCTGTAACTGTAAACTATATATATAGACGATATATACAACACTTGCCCTTTCTGTAATTTGCTCCAAATCCTTCCAAATCCCTCCAAATCTTATCAATTTTGGAGGGATTCTAAATGAGGGATTTCGAGGGATAGCAATCCCTCCAAATCCCTCTCAATCTTTTCTTTTCTCTTTTATTCTTCCCATCCAAACACCTTAATCACTATCCTTCCCATTTTTTTCTCTCCAAATCCCTCTAAATCCCTCAATCCAAACGAAGCCTTAGGGCTCTTAAACAACCTCTGAAACAACTCAACAAAAACAGGTTCAGTGCTATTTCTTCAATGGTTACAGCATACAAAGATGAGCTCTCACAATGCCAACTAAACCTGGACAAAAACCTTCAGATGACCTCCAAAGATTGAATGAGAAAGAACTGGCTAATTTTATTTGATTTATGCCTAGACAAGGAAATATTTTACAAGTAAAAACCACAGGTTCATTGGCTCAAGGAGGGTGACCACAATACTGCCTACTTCATGAGAAGTTTCACTTCAAAAGCCAATAGAAGAAAGGTTATGTCTCTTGAGGATCATAATGGTGACCAAATACATGGAAAGGACCTCCAAAAAGAAATTCTCAATCACTTTTAATCTATCATTGGGCAAAGTTACACTTAGTACACATGTATATATATTCTTTTTCTCTAACCTTATTTCTAGGACTGTACCTGTTACCTCCTCTCCTCCCTCACTGCCATCCCCACGGACATGGAAATACAATCTTATATCATTGCCTTTCACCCCTACAAAAGCCCTGGTCCAGACAGTTTCAATTCATGTTTCTTCTCCCACTCTTGGCCAATTATTGGGTAGGATGTAATTTCTGCTATCAAAAATTTCTTATCTCAAGGAAACTGCTTAAAGAAATCAATTGCTCTTACATTGCCCTAGTCCTTAAAAAACCTAACTGTACCACTGTAAATGACTTTAGGCCCATTTCTTGTTGTAATTTGATTTACAAAACCATTTCTAAGCTGTTGGCAAATAAGCTTGCCCCTATACTTCTCTTACTTATAAGTCCAACTCGGAATGCATTTATCAAGGGCAGACACATCACTGATAATATTGTGCTTGCTCATGAGCTGTTGAATGGATATCACAAGTCCAAGCACCCACCAAATTACACTTTTAAAATTGATATCAAGAAGGAATTTGATACAATCCAATGGCAGTTTATAATTAACCTGCTGATAAGTGCTTGAATGTTGTACATTTTAGCACTTAAGATAGGGTATTTCAGTCTTTGCATCTATCTTAATTTCACATTTTAGTCCTAATTTATGCTTATGTGCATTTCAGGGCAATAAAGCTAAAATGAGCTAAGAATAGTCCACTATAGACGTTTGGAGTCAAGCTAGAACATCGAGACAAGATTCAGAAGGAAGTAGAGCAATGCAGCAGAGTGCATTGCGTTCGGACGCCAAATCTTGCGTCTGAACGCGAGCCAACTTTGCACTGCGTCCGGACGCCATTTCTTACGTCCGGATGTAAGCTTTTTATATATGGTGTGATACCTCTCAGATCCGAGACACGGGTTGATCGGGCCCAGGCCCAAACCCGAGGGAAATATCAAACTATTAAAGTATTTTAAATCGAACACAGAATAGAAATTTAAGAATTTAGATAAAGGAACCCAAAATAAATATAAAATCCTCCAATGATAAATAATATTAATTCAATCCTCCAAAACCTTCAAGGTTACAACTTGGGAATCCAACTAGTGGACCCCTAAAGAAAATCTCAACTGAACTGGAAACTGAAAAACATCAACTAGAATCATCGAGAGAAGTCCTACATAAGTAGATGAATGAGAGACTATCCTCAACAAGCACGATTAAGCTCTAAGGCTGGAACCGTCTTGTACCTGAAAAGAATAATAGAAGAGTGGGTCAAGCCCACGAGCAAGTTCTAATCTAACTGCAATCTATACAGTGACCCGATACGCAGATACACCGTAGATACCTCATAATATCTATCTAGTCCATACATATCTATATATCCATACTAAGGGACATTCACTGGATTACAGTAGAGGTCTCAACCTGAATAGAAGGCAACATACGAATGCGTACCCAAAGGTGGGCATGAGTACCTAGACCTAACAGGGTACACCTCAACCTACTATAGTCAGTTACGCATCCACTGCATATACGCACCTTAA